AATGAAGGGAAGTGGGAAGTGGTCTTTCCGGGTGGCTAGATTCAACTTTCGATAGTCCATACATATTCTCCAGCCTGTGACGGTTCTTGTTAAGATCAATTCATTGTTGTCATTTGTCACAATCGTCATGCCACCCTTTTTAGGAACACATTGCACTGGGCTCACCCAGCTGCTGTCAGAGATTGGGAAAATAATTTCCGCATCCAACCACTTTATCACCTCTTTCTTCACCACTTCCTTCATGTTGGGGTTTAGCCTCCTCTGATGTTCCCTGGAAGGTTTGTGCCCCTCTTCCAGCAGAATCTTGTACATGCAGTAGGCGGGGCTGATCCTTCTGATGTCTGCCATGGTCCACCCTATGGCAGTTTTGCACTCCTTTAGTACCTGTAAAAGTTTTTGAATCTGCACATCTAACAAACTAGATGAGATAATAATAGGTAATGTGGAGTCAGGTCCCAGAAATTCATCCCTGAGGTGGGCTGGCAATGGCTTTAACTCCAGCTTTGGTGGTTCTTCAATGGATGGCTTAGCTGGAGGAGTTTCTCTCTTTTCTAAGTGCAAGAGCTCAAACTCTAGATTTCTCTCCCAGAACCCTTTACCTTCCAATGCCAACACCCATTTCGCCAAATCCTCACCATTCACTTCATCCAAGTTCATCAAACATGCAGAAAAGGGTTCCTCAATTGTCAACACCTCATCATCAGACTCTACAATTACATCCATGGCATAAATAAGAGAGCAATTGGCGAACTCGCTTGGTCGCCTCATAGACTTCTGCACATTGAACGTTATTTCCTCATCATTGAGTCTCATTTTGAGCTCCCTAGTCTCATAGTCAATCGGAGCTCTCCCCGTGGACAAGAATGGTCTTCCTAAGATTATAGGAATCTCTTCATCCACTTTGCAATCCAAGATCACAAAATCTGCAGGGAACACAAATTTCCCCACATAAATAAGCACATCATCAAGGATACCGAATGGACGCTTCACAATCCTGTCGGCCAGTTGCAGCAACATGGAGGTGAGTCTAGCTCTCCCAATGCCCAACCTCTTATAGATAGCCAGGGGCATAAGATTAATGTTGGCCCCTAAATCACAGAGTGCCTTAGCAAAGGCGAAATTCCCAATAGTGCATGGAATTGTAAAGCTACCTGGATCAAACAGCTTTTCAGCAATAGGTCTCGTCACCACTGCACTACAGGTCTGAGTAAGTATAATCGTAGCCAAGTCTTGAAAATCAAATTTCCGGGACATCAAGTCCTTCATCATTTTTGCGTACCTAGGCATCTCCTTTAAAGCTTCAATCAGTAGAATATTTACATGGATTTGTTTGAGTATTTCAAAGAAATTTTTATGCTGCTCCTCTTTTTGATGCTTAGCCAGCCTCTGTGGAAAGGGTGCAGGAGGTCTCTTCTTCCCAATCACTTGGGACTTCTCTTTATCAGATTCTATTTCAACTACTGGCTCTTCAACTGGCTCAGCTACTTTATCGGTCTCCTGCTGAATGTTCTTTTCTTCCTGAGCAGGCTGGACTGCCACTTCTGTCAGTATCGTAGACTCATCCAGCTCAATGGGCACTGGAATGAATGTCTCAACCTGTATATTTTCTCGAGCTCTCTCTTGTTCTACATCTAGATCCCTACCATTACGGAGACTCA